TGTCCTGCTAAAAGTATTAAGTACACATAAGTATATAACACACTAATAATAATTAAGCAAAAAGATATGTTCTATTTAAATACAATGAAGATAAGATTTCAAATGTAAGCTAAACGGCTTCTATACAAAATTATTCTCGAAAAATAATTGCAAAAGTACAAATGAAGATGTTTTGGTAGAAATATAATACCAAATTTACTTTAAGCTCACTATGTATGAATATAATGGAAGTTAAAAACATATTTGGTTCCAAAACTCAATATACATATATCAAAAATCAATAATCAATATATGAACTAACTCATTAAGCTTATAACAATGTCGCATCCGTTGTAATAGCAATTAATTTACGGCGTAAAATAAAAAATACTTTATCTACACCTTTTTCTCATGAAGCATTTGATTAAAATCACATTATTATTAGCAATAAATTTTGAAGTGTATTCCATCAGCCTTAATACTTTCTATAACTATTACAAAATTTATTCAATACAGAAGTTGCGTTACGCAATTTCATCGCTTCGTTTTTTGCTAAATTTCAATTTTGAAGTGTACCGGTTGTTTTAAAATAACTAGTTAAACGACTATGCACTTTGGCATGTTACTAACAGAATCTAATTTTCTTTCGCCGTTTCTTATTTTTTATGTTCTAACCCCAAAGGCATTTTCGCCAGTTACGTTATGTTGACAAACATAATGATAGTTAATGATATGATTTGTCAATCCGCCTTGTTTGGTAAAGTAATTGGTGGGCTATTGTTTCGAAGGCCATCGTATGAGACGAAAATGTGTTTCATGGTTTTACACTTTCTAAACTGATTGCGATTATTAAAAATAACATCACGTTTGAAAAATACAATAGCAAAATGGTTAATAAAAAATATTCGACAACAGCGTTACAAGAATCCAAATGCCGCTGACATAACTGCCAAAATAACTCTAAGCTGTTTTCATTAAATCGATTTCAAATCTGAGGAAACAGTGATGAACATGTAAATAAAACTAAAATCTAAAGGAACTGTGAAAACTGATGTGACATTGACAATGATGGAAGCGATTAAAACAAAAATGTGACTAAAACAAAAAGCTATCAATTGGCGGCTAATGCATTTACTGTGCAACTGAAGTCACATAAGGTCAGTTATAATGACACCTTAGTTAATAAGTCAGGTTAATAGATCTCCTATCAGCAGACCTATCAGGATTGAACAAACGCTCAAGGCTTCAATTGAAAGATCAATAGGGGCTCCGGTTATGACGGTGACCCGCAAGATCGCCATGTACAATTTATTGATACAATAGGTAGATCATTGTTACACTTCCATCATTACATAAAGTTCAATTCAGTTAAGTATTGTCCCAGTTCAAACTCTTTACACTTCAATCACGTTTCACATCATCATCAGCTCACTAATTACACTAAGCTCACTCTAATGTGCCTACTATCGGAGCACAGGCGGGTGGCATCGAATCAATTAAATTTGGAAAATGGGTTATGAAATACCAGAGGTGACTTGACATGCCTTCCAAAGAACGGAGGAGTTTGAGATACGTAACTTCTGGTCACCCATCCTATGACGAGCCATTGCGAAAGTTGTGTAACTTCTGATTCGCAGTAACCACTGCGTTATCGAACTCCTTTTCTACTAAAAACATATTTGCAGTACACACATACAGGTTTGTTAGAGTTTTACTGCGAACAAACCGATTAAAATTGCATTAGAAATTTTACCAAGCCACATTGATTAATGATTGATAATATAATCTCACGACTCCGTACGTAAGCGGCGACGACAACAATTGTATTTTCACTGTCAATTAGGCCTTTGAACAATATGATTACTCCTTTGTGTCATTCGCCAAACTCAATCATACTTACAATGATCGATTCCAAATGAATTTGCTTCGATATACCCACTATTGAAAATGAGTTTTTTAGTTCCATTTAATTTCGTAACTGCTGCAAATCGGTTACTACTTGCAGGACAAAAGTATGATAAGATGCATTTTCTATTTATTCGCTACTGCTTTTCAGTTATTTTATAATTTTCAGTTAAATTTGAATATATTTCGATGTTTATTTCAAATATAAATTATTTCGTATATTTCGAGCCAAATACTGCTTTCAACATAGTTTTGAAATTCCCTCGTTGCTATCATTGTTTGAAATTGTTATACATATGATTTCGTGACGTAATTCTGCCAGCAAGACCTTGAAAGATTTTTATGCCCTTAAAAGCGCTCAGTCTTGACATTACATATCTATTTATCATAGTAATAATAATAATAATACATATTTAGCACGTTACTGGTATGTTAAATGAATAATTCAAAAATACCTTTAAATTTATTTAAAAAGCGATATGTTGACTTTGACTTTGATTGAGAAAATTCAAATCAAAAACACTCACAGCCACAGTAAAAGTAAGTCAGAATGTGCTGTTTGCGGGTTTATCTTATTGACCAATAAAACAATAACCGACCACTGAAAGCAAGCTACAAAAACCGCACGCGAACGTAATCAATCAGTTGAATGTCACTGAGCCTTAACGCAGATTACTGTCCTTTGATTTTAAACATGAAAATGAAAATAATACGATTCATGCAACTTTTTGACAAGATAATTAACCATATATAAATATTTAAACGATATAAGCTTAAGATTATAAAAGAAGTGGAAATGCATTTCTTAATCAAACCTTATCTTGGTATCACAGTAAATGGAATAGCATCATGGAAAGTGCCGCCTCAAGAACATTATAAATTATGAGAAGCGATGACGTTGAGAAAGTCAAACGACATTACGATGTTAATTGCCATCAAGAGATGTAATAGCGCTCGATATAAAATTTTAATGTGTTGAATATTTCATTGAGACGACGACGCATAGACAAATTGTTTCGATGTTTTCAAATGAAAGATAAAGTTACTTTATCGATTTTTAATAGCCCTTTTGAACATTATATATTTTAGAAACTTGCTAGAAATTTTATCACGCAAAGGCGTATTTTCAATGTTTGATGTTGCCGTAAGCGTGGTGTGGGTGGTTTCTGTACAACTACCCATTTTATGCTTATTCCATAGAATCGGTTCCATAGCTCTCTAAGCTAGATCCCAGATCCTTCTCCAGTGCGACGATTATAAGATAGACTAATACGACCCCACTCCTTGAGGCAGGTAATAGTGGTTGGAAAGCCATGATTTGCGGCATATAGCCCTTTTATCGCTGCGTTAATAAAAAATACATTTCTGATACATGGCAATGTTAGCATCAAATATGTATAGTTTAAATTTATAGAAAGAAATTGGTCCAAAAGAATGTACCTATTTTTCTCCACAATTCCGACATATACATATAAATAATGTTAATTAAAAAACATAATTTAATTACATCTTAATTTTAAAAATAATGACGCAATCATCAAGTTATAATTCTCCAAAACAGATCAAAATAATATTACGCAAGTCGTTACAATAATGGCCAATTAAGGTTAATTGCTTTTCGAAGGAGCTTTAATCCAGAAGACATAAAGGAATTGATAGTAAGTCAAATGATATTATCTTTAATATTTTACACATTTTCGATCGAAATAGGCTGAATTGCAAAAAATTAAAAATCCCTGACCCAAAAATACACTGTATATAGAATAAAATAATCTGTTTTAGCTCTTTTGTATATACAGGTTGTATTATGGCTTCGCTAAACAAAATTTTCTTTTCAGTCGGGGGACCTCTGTGTATAGTAGGCGTATCATAGCAAAAGCTTCGTAAACATCTTTTATTTTTGCTTTTATTATATTTGATAAATTTCGCATAAAAAATACTGTACTGAAAATATATTGCTCTCAGGGTGCCAGAGAACAAGTAGGACAATAATTAGAACAAATTTTCATCTTTCGATAAAGATTTAAATATTTGTAAAAATATTTCTTTCGGCTCTTTCGGTGGATTAAACATTGATGAGAATACTTTCTGTAGTAGTGAAAAAGTAACAAATGCTTGAAAGTTGGTTAGCACGAATGGTCGTGGGTTCGAATCCCATCTCAAGGTGCCAGGGATCAAGTCGATTTTTTAAACATTTTTCATTAAGAATATTTATTCTTTCGTTAACAGGTTGAAAATATACATGAATACTATTAACCATCACTTACAAAATGTATAATTTTATACACTGACCACTAATTTTTCATCTACAAATCGGTTGTTTGTGTAAATAAAATATGTAATTCAGTTATTGAATTGGGTTGTGTAATAAGTACATTGGTGATATAAGAAATAATGGTTGACAGTTGTTCGGTCCGACGGATATCACTACACCAATAAGGAAATGTATCCAATAATGATAATAAATATGTACAAAGTAGGTTTAATTCGAAAGGGATATAAAAACACGTTATTATAGAAGTACTCTATATAGGTAATAGTATTAATTTACAATATCTCAATTTATAAGAGCTTTTGTTTTGAATATTTGAGATTTTTTAAGAGAAATATGCTGCCATATTATAAGTATTTGTTGTTAGGACAGCTCTTGCTTAGGTGTTTGTTAAAATAAATTAAAGTGATCTTTGAATATCAATTCGATATCTTTCATTTTATTATATTTTTAAATTTAGGTTATTTATTTAACATATTCACTTGAAATGTAGCTGTAAATTTAGTTACTACTTCATTTTTATTTACATATCCTGATTTAAACTTAACTTTTATGAGCATAATGAGCTTTGTCTGTGAAATTTGTCAGTTTCTGATAAATCGATATGCTGTTTACCACAATTATTAAACCATACGAAGCCAGTCAATTTAGTAATCAAAAAAGTCTAGTAATTAAAGCGTTGATTATATTTACTGGCAGTTAAAACAGCGATTAACATGTTTAAAAAAATAGTAAAGATCAATAAGTTTAAAAACGTAATTGCTAACAGGATGAAATAAACCTATACTAAGAAATGTCATATTGCCTATTCAATGTTGCTAATGTACGATTATTCTATTTACAGGTGTAAACAAACAAGGTCCGCTGCGAGCAAGTTGGATTATTGACCTAGTCGGCCACCGGAAACGTTATGCCTTATATAAACGGCGCTATCTAAAGCGGACCTGTGCCGCATCACAAATGGTATCACCGTTAATTATGCCAGGTTATTAGCACAAAGCATAATGATGGAAGAGGTGACACCCCGCACCAACGTCGAGTACATACCACCACTACCTCCGAAAGTGAAACAGCGACAGACGACCTTCACGCAAATAACCAACGATGAGAATCTAAACGGGTTCGACACGACCGATAGTCGCTCTATAGACTCTCTAAGTTCGATGCACTCGCTCGTCCTTAATTCTAAGAGTCCAAGTGCAACGGTATTCATAGCGGCGGCCCAGTCAGACCGACCCGCAAATACGGCTCGCGCAGACGCTCCAACCAACGGTCCGCACGTGGTCACAATCAGAATAAACACTGACGCCGACAAAGCAAAAGCACCGAAAATATCAAGCGTCCATCTCAAAAGCGACATCGACTTTGACACTTTCAAAATCAACGAGAGAAAAAATAATAGCCTAGTCAGGATCAATGTCGATGAACCTATACCGAAAATTGTCGAAAATGAAGAATTAATGAAAACAGATAAACCACCTTATATCTACTGCAATTCTTTCGCCAATTCAATGACAAATATGGTAATGTCAAGCGGACAGTGTTCGCCTAGTGACACGCTAGATTCGGGAACTTGCAGTGACCTCGATGGGACACCGCCACCGCTACCGAAAAAGAAAACTTTAAAATCTGCCACTAAAAAAGCAATTTCAGTGACTGTTATTAATTCTCGGAACGGCAGCAACCATGGCGAGCTCGATTTTGAAGATAACGACTCGAATATATCATGTGATTCACTGAACAGTAGCGAGTTAAATGGAAGCGTGCACACAGATGAAAGTCATATCGAATACATAACTAAAAAGGGAAAGAAACAGAGTTTTGAGCCTCCTGCAGCACCAGTAATGCCGACATTTGCCACTGAACCGAACAATAAAGACGGCTTTCTACCGCAAGGCCTACTACAAGATATTAGAGACCGTTCAGCGAAACTCAACACAATAGAAACTGAAATCGAGCCCGAGCAATTGGAGGCGAACCAGAATATTAATGAAAATGCTAATATAACGAAAGAAAGCACGCAACTCACTTCGTTCAGATTAGTTTCACAGTTGAACAGTGAAGCAAAGAAAAATGACGAGAGAGAGTCATCTCCGCCTTGTAAAGCACCTCTCATCACGGAGACGACGTATGAGGAGAGACAAAAGCAAGACAAATTAAAACAAGAGAAAATGTGCTACAGTAGCCATTACTTTGATGCGGACAAATATTACGACTTCCACTTAAACGAGAAACAGTTTGATGATGTAAAATCAGTAAGTAGTGTTAGTGTGACTGCTAAAAGTGAGTGTGAGAATGGTACTGATATGGAATATTTCGCGGGCATCAAGGATTATAAAAATGAAGAGATGCCGTCGACGATTAAGAGTTCGAAAGGAACGATACGAGGTGTCAAAAATCGCGTCAGAGCCGGTATAGCTACATTCCTTCAAATGCAGAGCACCACGAAGGTAATTATTCCAACCATTTATTTTACAGTTTTTCAATGATTTATTTGTACTATTTAATAATGTTCATTACTTGGTAGAGTACGAATCGCAATCGCATCAAGCACTAATATTAAGTTTTGTATCCATATTTGCACAGCGAAGGAACTAAGAGATTTCTAATACACATATTGGACAATTGAGTTCAATAAGAATTCGTTTCTCATTCGACATTCTTAGTGTAATCGTAAATATTTTATAAGTGACAAAAAATGAAATGAATATATTTTAGTCGTTAAAAAAATAAAGATCTTCGTTAATCGTATCGTTTCTAAGTAGGTTTATACGCGATCAAATGGATAACTTTAGAATTACTATTAGACTGTCAAAAAAATTTTAAACTTTTCGAAAGCTCTATAACGTAAATAAAAATATATATATATTTGTTAAGCTATCCAATTTTAAAATTACAACGATTAAGTTCAATTTTACTGTTAAGCTATATAAATGTTTTTCTACATATATTTCAATAGGCACGTTTGAAATAAACATAAAAGGCAATCAAATCTTTCATCTTTATAATATTAGCAGAAAACAAAAATAACTTATAATTTTTTTTTATTATTTTTCCATCTACGACTTTTGAGATTGCGTTTGGCTGACAGTAAATATGGCGATGTTAACGAGATGAGCTAAATGTCACTGAAACTAAGAAAAAATCTACAGCTTGTTCTGAAATATTTATCTGTAATTTGAGTTAAAATTTTATACTTCCGCATCATGAAGGTACTGTACTCTTTACAGGACAAACTTCATGTCTCACGTTATATCTGTTCGAGTGACTTGACTTCATTTGTTTATTCTTTTTATTTTGCGCCACCAGTTTTTGTGTCAACCAGCTCGTTACACACACTCTAACTTTGGAGGTCGCCGCGAATTCGAAAGTGTAGCGGGGCACGTACAGACCGTTGATTAAAATTCTCATTTCCAAGATTATAATGGGGCTAATAAAAATAACTAGTGGGCAGTAAGAATTTAGCTCCTTGAAAGAATCGGTGAGTTGACATTTTCACACGTATTTTTTCATTATTGTCGAGAATTGGTTTTGGTGTTCTAATTTTATTTTTGGCGTATGAATAATCGTTTATTTCTATTGAATAGGTGTAACATTTTCAGAAATTTTATTTAGACTATGGCGCTTAGTGCAGTGTTATTCTGTTATAAAAACCATTCCCAAGGCAACGCCCGCGTGCGTCAAACTGGATGCCTTAATTACTTATTTATTAATTGTACTAATGTTAATGTCGACAATGCTTTAGAATTAGTTAAAACAGTAGTAGAGGACACCATAATGAAGCAGTCACCTATTTGCCGCTCATCTAACGCACGACTCCCGTTGCTCACTGCCCGCGCCGTAGCCATCCAGAACAGTTCAGCATTTTTATAACTGGCTATACATGTGTGCCTATCAGATGTGTCCGCCGGACTGACCATAGTTCTATGATTTCTTACTTCAAGGCCGATTAATCCACTGCATACTTATTAAACCTATATTTTTAAGCTCCTGAGATATAACGTCCGCTTTTATTACGATACTGTGTGTGGTGAAATAATGGATCAGATCTGAAAGGAATCCGCGGGGCACATCTGTGCGTGTATGGCTGGCTAGCTTGCCGCTCTCTCCTATTGTCTCCTATTTTGGTTATTATAGAAAATAAAAAATAAATTGATATAATATTTTTAGGTGGGGTGATTGATAATTAAATTTTGGTCAAATATATTCGGATCTTTAACTTTAAATAACTTTTAAAATATTATCACTATATTCCCACAAGAACCGCCACAGTAGAACATGGCCGAGTTTAGCGAGTTGATAAATGTTTTAATGAAAAGTCTACGCTACGATGATTTGTGAAAAACAAAATATTTTTGTTGCAATAAAGATATTTTTTGTAACTGTAACGTATATAAAATCTTAATCAAGATTGTTGGATCTCCGCGACTTCGTTACATAGACATTTTCACAAAAAACTTGTTGTAAACGGCGTTATAAGTCACCTCGTTTTATTATCATCATCGCTGGCTATAAAGCAAGTTTCTAGAAACTTTATCATAAACTAGCTGAGAGTGGTCTCATTTGCAATTTAACTCTTATTATGTGATAACTAGGTAGACCAAATACTGTAAACAAACCTAGGTGACTAGGCGACTAAATACTAATAACACACAGCAGTTAGAGTATATATTTAAAAAAAAAAAAACAAAACTTATAAAAACTGACAATTATAAAATACATACCCGTCTCGAACATAGAACCTTTTTTGAGATTTGAAGTAAATATTCCCTAAAATAGAAGACGATTACCAAACAAAAATGGCACCAATAGCTAACATGATGCATGCCATATGAGAAGTTATTATCGTCAGATCTTTACCTTTTTATAAATCAGAAGATGTTGACATTTATTACATACTTGAATTATTATAGAATTATCAATCTTGTATCTTAATTCATCTTCAACATAAATACTGCTGGGACAAAGGCCTTACCAATAAGGAGAACAACTATAACCCAACGTGTCCCTGTGGATAGATAGATAATAACAAATGTAGATACAGCTAATTACTAGTAGTTGTTTACTAATCCTATGACCGAATTGCGACAGTTATTATGCTTGCATTGTAACACAGCGGATAGATACCTTATCAGGGCTGAGCAACCACAAGGGCTTCAATTCTACATTTTTTTAATGTAATAATCACATCTCAATAGAATCTTAACTACTCACATTTTGCCATTGTAATACCTACCTGAAGTCCAAAGCTAAAGTCAGAATAATCTTTATTCAAATAGACTTCCTAAAAGTACTTTTGAATTGTCCAACATTTTTTCCCTTCCACTCGTTCAGGACGTCTTTTGGCTGATAAGAAGAACGAGCAAGAAACTCACCAGCTCTAATATTATAAGTGCAATATCTCTTTCACAGAGCAATGGCAATATTTATAATTAACATTTTGTGATCTAGAAACAAAAACTGGTTGAAGTTAAAGCGCAATTGCCCTGAAGGACTCACCTAGGAGGTCAAAATGATTTGGAGAGAAAAGCTAGGTCCCGCAAGGAGGGTTTCAGACCGAAACCATCCAGAGCTCTTCGATTATAAGAACAAAATTCTACACGACCTCTAAAGCACTTTAGCGAACAATAAACAAGTACCAGATGTCAAACAATGTGTACGATTGTTTAATTACACACCGAATTATGAACGGCCAACGATGCCGTAAGATCTTAGTCTAAAGTTGCCAATAACAATGTCGATTGTTATTGTAATGAGATATTGTGGAAAATGAGTATTCGTGACGTATGGCGTCAACACTGCGAAACTGTTCAAATAGCTTATCACCTGTATTTGAGAAAGTCAATAACTCTGCGTAACGAAATAAGTATATTTTAATAATTCTATATTACTTTTATGCCTTGAAATCCAATATCCTCGTATAGATTACAAGAATAAGTCCAATATCACAGAGTTTTAGAGGTAATTTTGCATTTTTTTTTCTTTGAACAAAATTTTATGGACTTATAGCCCAACGTTGTCACAGTTACATGATGTAATAACCTCATTTTAATTGTTGTTTATTTTTTATCGCAATCAATTGATCACATTAGGAAATTGTTGACAGCTTTTTTTCACCTGGGTCTCAAACCATTTCCTAACAATGCACAGGTAGTGGCACACAGTAAGCGCAAGTGTACGTTTTTCCTATGCTTTCTCCTAGTATATTTCTTGTCACATTCAATGTTAGAAAACTTGGAGAGCGCACACTTCCGACATACTTTTCTAGACGTGGGACCATCGTAGGAAACTGTTGTACAATAATTATCTACCTACTTGGAAGCGGAAGGTATTTTTCTCGTGTTTGTTTAAGATGCCAAAAACATTATGGTGAATAGTGTTGCTATATTCTAATCTGCCAGCATTTCACCCCGTCAATAAATCATAGTACCCGCTCTTTTAAGGTAAAAGAAGCATTTTTTCCACAAATAAAAATGGGAGTCATCATAAACATCTGCTCTCATCGGATAAACCTGATAATTTGAACGAAGCCAATTCAAAAACAATTGTTGATTTTAGTTTTTTGTGTTTTTTGTAGTCCAGGGAAGGCTTAAACGGTAAGAAGTGATAACACGTAGACTGGATCATCAAGTTTTCAAATAAAAAATAAATAAATCATTTCAAATCGCTTCGTTAGAAAAAAGAATCACTCGTGATTTCATCACGCATTGCTTGTCACAAATCATGTTACAAACAAATACGTTTGTATTTCAAATTCGCACGTTTGTATTCGTTTCGCTCAATGATTGGCTATTCAATTAACTTAGTGTAGAAAAAAAAATTGAAGAAACGTAAACTATCTGTCCGTGTATCTTTTCGGACAGATACCGATATTATCGAGAATATTCTTCACGCGTGAAGCAATGTGGCTATTTTGTTAATTTCTTTGATAGTCTAATGAGATAACAATACTTCTGTTGAAAAAAGTAATAAAGTGGCTCATTTCTTAAGTTTCATATCGTCTTGATGAAAGCAAGAGGTTTAATCTACTATTTAATATTTTTCAATAATTTCCGCAATTTGGTGTACATGAAAATTGATTAACGTTTATAAAATAAATGAACTATCTAACTTATTATGATAATTTAATTAATAAGCTACAAAAATAAATAAACTGAATTCAGAAGGGGTTATACCATCATCACGATCCTATTAATGTCCCCAATTCTGGGGCCTAGTCCCTATGGATGGAATCGAATTAAACCGAATAGTGAGAATGCGCTATGACCCACTACGCGGGTCCAGTGAGGATTTGTTGTTAACGATTGCATATACAGCCGGGACCAGCGGTTACATACCTAAAGAAAATAATTTTTTGTTCACCCATCCTATGTTGCTTGACAATACTGTCGCAGACCGAGGGCGCTAACCACAGCATCATCGAGCTCTTTATTGTGCCGCTATAAAAAAA